CTAAAAATTCCAGGAGAAGGTCGAGCAGCTTCAGCAAGCAAATGATAAAGTGAAAAGGATACACGCTCCTTTAAAGAAACAAAAGCTACGAAAGATGAAGAAGAAGCCGATTCTGCGACATAGATATAATCATAGAGGTGATACCTGATGTAGGAGAAGGGTACTCTACTATGCTTATACGTGGCAAGGCCCAAGAATATGAAGCTGGTTCTTCAAATGACACTACTTCTGTATCAGTAGATACTATAAGGTGCACTGCCTCAATCATATTTTTCTCTCTCGCTAAATATGTAATAGTCAAGGTGTTTGGCTTGTCTGGTTCAGAGGGATGCATCAGGACTGCCGAGTTGCTCAGCTTGGGGGATAAACTTGACAACGCTAAAAATACCAAGAAATTTATCTTTAGCTAAACCATCTTGCTCTCCTAATGGGTCTATGTATTCCTAATGTCTGATTTCTGAAACGGGAAAGGTATTTCTAATTTACAATTACGACCGTTAAAACCTATTTCGTCAACCTAGTTTATATACTGCAGAATCTAATGTGGAGGCCTGTTATATTTATACAGCATTCAAATACAAAGAACATGTACGAACGTTTCAATCATGATAGGCACGCTGGTGAAATGAACAAACGTGTACAAATGTTCATGGGCCACGTATCTGAATCAACTAAACAACCCATAGTTCACTCAAGTGTTAGACCTTGAACCCGCAAGTGAAGGATAAGTGTACTGTTTCAATAATAGACCCCCCAGAAAGGCATCTATGAAGACTTCTCTAATATCTTCACACCGCGTCTAAGACGATCACTATTGTGAGAGAAAATTAGGAAGCCCCACGGGTTCTATTCAAGAATACTATTATGCATGAATACATACGCTAGTACCCGGCAGCAATGAGGAGACGAGCATTCGCGGTACTAAACTTGGGCATACGAACGCCAGGGCAATATATGAGTATTTCAACACAATGATGGAGATGCGCATGAGCCACGTAGCTGAATTAGCTAAATAAACTATAGTTCACTTAAGTGTTACACTCTGGACTCGTATGTGAAGGATAGGTGCACTGTGGTAAGAGAGAGAGAGAGAGAAAGCACGATGCGGTATAAAAATTTAATAGTAAGGTATTTAAATACTGCTCACTTATGTGAACCTAACTTTGTTCACTCAGCATTTTCACGTCCACCTGTTTGTTGATATGGACGCGTACGTGTTACAGATCTAAGAAATTTCTTTCTAGTAAAGAGACCAGAACTCAAGTCCTGGATAAGTGTACTTGCAATTTTACACGCCGAGGAAAGAGCCTACATTTGTCGTCTTGATTTTTAAGTAGCACCACTCCTTAATGATACTCTTTAAGTAGTCTAGATTTCCACGATCGAGAAACATACGGTTATTCACCTAAATGTTGTAAAACAATATATTGTCGTATGTGACTTTGTTATCTGTCTCAGCGCCAGGGTCCTTTTGAACTCATATATATATACATTACACACACACACACACACACACACATATATATATATATATATATAT